AATAAATCAAATATTAGCATATTAAGTAAAGCTATTCCGAAGATAGATATGAATTAATATATTTTTATTTTTATGTCTTACAAAAGCAATAGAACCAACTTTTAAAATTTGGATCTGAATCAAACCAAGTTTAACTTAAATCTGGAACTTGTTATATAAATTCAAAACTAATTTTACCATCCCTACATACGCCCAATCACAATTTGGAGGAAACATTAGAACTCCTTAGTTCAACCGCTGCAGCTGCGAGACAAATGACATCTCGTTCAACAACGCGTGTTTGAAAAATGATTTTATTTCCTTCCTGTTTTGTTAATACGAAACCATTTAATAATTATTCGCACAACGAATTAGAATTTAAAATGAATAAAATTTTGATCTGACCTTCCACATTTGTGTTTCAAGCGTTTCGCCAGGAAAAACTGGTGAGGCAAGCCGACCTTTTATACTCTTAAAATTGTTAGGATCGTTGTTACAATATTTTGTATACACATGCTTGCCAGATATACTATAGGTACACATTCCATGAAGAATTGGAACTTCAAAACCACCCATCGCAGACATGTTAGGATCGATATGCAACGGATTATAATCTCCGCTTAGGCGATATAGGGCAGCTTGCGATTCTAGAGTTTTTTCACTTACAACTGCATCCGGAGGACGTTTTGGTGGTGTATTTGACGCAGTGGCTGGACCCCGATCAGCTCCAGTTTTTTTACCACCAAAGCCACCAATTCCACGTATGAATAAGGTTGATTCATTTTCAAATATGACGTCACCTTTTTCATCTTTGGTAGTTACACCAAGAATGACTGATACTCCTTTGCCTTTATCAAGAATATCAATGAGACGCGGCGTTGAAATTAATTTGCCAGATGTTGGAATGGGTTTCTTGAGTTCAAGATATTGTTCACCATGCAATAGCATCATCTATCAAAATAAACGTTAAGTTATAAATAATCGTATTTTATTCAAAGCATACAAGTTTAATAATCATAAATGTTATAAAAACACGCACGTAATTGAAGTCACCCAATATTGACATTAGCGGAAAAGTGCCTAATTGATTAACTGCTGGAATAACACCAAATGTTGGTAAAACATGAAAATTTTCATTATTTTCGTAAACCCATTGTAAATCCTTTCGAGTAGCGCCAACACCTAACGCATAAAGAATTACGTCTCGCTCTTTATATTCTTCAACAGACGAATCATGTTTCTGTCTTTTAGCTGCTTCTACATCAATTTTTCTAGGAGTTGTAGATTTTTTTGTAGGTTCAGAAGTTTCAGATGATTGAGCACTGGCAAAATTTTCAAAGAACTGCTGAAGAGCTTCTTGTGTAGTTCTAGGATGTGTGGCACGACCATCATTAAAATTCGTGATTACATCCCATTTTGTAGCAAGATCTTCTGGCAAGAGAGGTTTGGAAGTAGGAAAGCCAATACCACCGGAACGTTGCCAACGAACTTGGGCAATCCATCCACCACCAACTTCAAATACATTTCCAGTTGAAGGACACGACTCGTGTGAAAGAAAAGCGACTAAAGGTGCCACATAATCCGGTTTGAAAGCTTCAACCATTTCTGGTGGCCAAATAGTAGCTGTCATACGGGTTCCAGCAGTAGGTGCAATAGTGTTTACAAGAATGTTATTTTTACGACCTTCCAATGCAAGCGTATTGCTGAATCCAAGAATTCCAAGTTTTGCTATATTCGAAAATTTATTCGTTAAAATTATATCAAGGTAATAGAAAATAAATCAAATCTAAATTGAAAAAAATATATATATGTATATATTATACCAGCGCTGTAGTTAGCCTGCCCAAAGTTGCCATAAAGGCCAACAGAAGAACATGTATTTATTATACGACCATATTTTTGTTTTGTAAAATGAGGCCAAGCGGCTTTTGTAACTTTATAAGTACCACGTAAATGAACCTTTTGTACTAAATCCCAATCGTCATCGGACATTCTAGCAAAAGATTTATCTCTCAAGACACCCGCATTATTAATAATAACGTCAACGCGTCCAAAAGCTTTTATGGCAGTCTCAATTATTTTATCGCCGTCTTCCACAGAATCATAATTAGCCACGGCCTTACCACCAGCGTTACGTATTTCTTCAACAACTTTATCTGCAGCATTGGATGATGATCCTGCGCCATGAGTGCTAACACCCAAATCATTTACAACAAGGGAGGCACCTAGTCGTCCAAATAGAATTGCATAGGCTCTACCTAATCCACCACCGGCACCAGTAACAACGACAACTTTACCATCAAATCGGAGATCTTCTCCTCTAGGGTTAGGTGGTAAAGCTTTTGCTTGCTCGATGAAACTACCAAAGTCTGCATCACCCATAGAAGTAGGGTATTGTGGTTGAGAAAAATCAGTAATTTCTGGCCACTTTGGGATAACAGTGCCCGGTAAAAATGAATCATCAGTTTTAAATAAGGCGCCTTTGGAACGTTCCCACCGAAGTTTAGCGACAAAACCAGCTCCAACTTCGAACAAGCTACCGGTCTCTTCAGTTGATTCGTGGCATAAATATAGGACAAGAGGAGCAACATAATCAGGTTTAAGGGAGGCCAGAATATCCGGCGGCATTATAGTTTCAGTCATACGTGATGCAGCAATTGGAGCGATTACATTAGCGTGAATGTTATCCTTAGCACCTTCTTTAGCGAGTGTTTCGGTGAAACTGACCAATGCAAGTTTAGCTGTTCATTTTCAAACGTTGTCATGATCGAATAAAAAAATGGTAAATATTTTGAAAATCCCAAATAAAGTCAAGTTCCGTTGTTATCGACTTCATTATATCAACATTTCCTCTTAGCAAAGAATGAACATCAATTCCTGAGTGTTGATAGTGTTGATAACAACGGTATACGATTTCAAATTGTGTAATTCAAGGATTGGAATGTTACCTGCACTGTAATTAGCTTGACCAAAATTGCCATATATACCAGCGGCCGAAGCTGTATTGATAATTCTTCCAAATTTTTGCTTTCGAAAGAGATTCCAAGCAGCTTTGGTAACTTTGTATGAACCACGAACATGAACAGTTTGAATTAGGTCCCAATCTTGATCTGTCATTCTTGAAAATGATTTATCACGTAAAATTCTAAAAGTAATGAATCGATTAATAATGTAAAAAAGTATCCCGATTTATTTATAAAAAAACAAAAAGTATTTTATTAAATTATTACCCAGCATTATTAATTACAATGTCCACACGGCCAAATGCTTTAACGGCAGTTTCGACAATTCTTTCACCATTATCTACAGAATCATAATTTGCAACCGCCTTACCACCTGCGTGAACAATTTCTTCTACAACTTTATCAGCAGCAGCAGTAGAAGACTGTCCATCACCAGCCCGCGAGATACCAAGATCATTAACAACAACATTAGCACCTCGTGCAGCGAAAGCGAGCGCATATGCACGCCCGAGGCCTAAATAAAAGATAAAAATGAAAAAAAAAAATTTTATCAAACAGCACATCTCAGACAACTACCTTTCATAACAATGCTTTACTTACCACCTCCGGCGCCAGTAACGATGACAGTACGTCCGTCGAATCGAAGTGTATGTGCCATAGTTCTAACTATAAAAACATTGAATAAAAGTGATTCCTTTATAAAAGTCTTTAAGTTTTACAATTAATAATTCACCTCGTAAAAGATTCACCTCGTATTAAAGCTTAATAAATAAGCTACATAAATTAAGTCAATGAGGAACTAAAATTCAGACAAAATTTTAATTGCCAAACTTATACATAGATATTTGTCAATGACAAACAAGCATACCAATAAAGACGTTTATAATTTAAATTTTTAGAAAATCTTATCGATCTGAAATTTTGATGTTTTGCTTACTGATTGGCGCCCTTACATAATAAGTCTAGGGATGTTAATCGATGATGCAACTGATTTTAACGTTACGTTACTTTTTTAAAAGTATATATATTTGACTATAGTGAAGGTATTTTTTCTATAACTTTTTTTGACAAAGACGAGATAATATAATAGCTCAAAATTTTACCACGTAGTCCTAAAATTAATGCTAAAAAGTTGGAACACTGCTAAGATGGGATCAAAAAAGCTCAGGACAGCCAAAATATACGACACTGACTCAATAGTTATTATTATAGAAAAATACATTTATTAAAAAATAGTTCTTCGGGTTGGCATTTTGTGAAATACGATTACGTACGTATGTAGTAATTTACGATTACCTAAAATAACTGTCGGGGATGATGCTGAAATCGGATGATGCTGAAATTTTAACTTATTTTATCATGAAAAATTAAAAATTTTTTGGG